GAAGCCATGGACACTATGTTCCACAATCTAAGAGCCACCACAGTTTGTATGAAGTTTGAATTGTAGTCTGAGATGTAGAAAATATATGATAGAATTCTACAGAATAATCTGCCTCTGAATCAAACTAGTGTAGTTTCCAGTAGAACTTTGAGTCTCCTGTAAGTCTTTGCAAATTATTTGGTTTCATGGGCTTGAAACCTGGGTCAGTGGAAATGGCATTTCTTGCCACTAATGCTTTCAGATATAAGTTTGGTTGAGGTTTTTTTATATATAGGTTTTATGGTGCCTATTATTTCCTAATAAAGAAATTCCCATGGGGTATTTTGCTGGCATTCTGCTCATGATTTCCCAGCTTTGCTACAATGCTTGAGTGCGCAGGCAGCAAGCAGAGAACTGCTGTTACATTATGTGGGATATTTCTTGTTTCTGGATTGAGCAAGCACAAGCAAATGCAAAACACTTCTAGCTGTGTTTAGGCATATCATGCATTGGCTAAGGGTGCTCATGACAAGCTAATTTATCTGGGGAAAGAGCAAGACACAGTGAAGAATATGTTTCATCTTCTAAGCTGACAAGATGGATGCTTAAAGCATTATGAAAGCAAAGAAATGGGTCACCCTGGAACAAATCTACCTTCACCTTTCTTTTCTAGGCATAGTTATCCTAGACTCCATTTCTGTAGCATCTGCAATATGTGTTTTCATGCAGCGTTTCCAATACAGAGTTGTTGTAGATGTTATTGGCTTCTTACATTGACACACTTCTGTCTTACATAGAGGGGTGGAGGGAGAGAACAATAGTTTTGTATGTTTGAATGAAGCGGGTATTGATGGTGTTTTCTCTCTCCTGAAAAGTACGTTCATGGCTATGCCACAATCCTTTTGTCAGATGAATCCCCACCCCACTCTTTCTGTCCACAAGCAGAGATAAGTAAACAGGGCTGCAATCAGAAACAACTCACCTAGTGGTGGAGCACTGCAGCAAAAGCCTCCTGGTGGCAGCATTTCTGCTACATCTTAGGACACAGAGGGACAAGGTTGTGGTTGCAGCTGTGCAGATGTATCTGCAGAGCCCTTCCACACCCACCTATGTGCTACCAGCTTTGACCTCACCCCCATCTTGAGCCTCTCCCTTGCAGTTGGTGACAGTGGTGCTGTTACCATGAAGCTACTGCTGTGACTCTACCCCATCAGAGAAGCTGCTCCTAGCTGCAAGCCTATACCCACTCATCTGGGGCTAAGCTCCACTGAACTCAGTGGGATCTACTTTGAAAAGACAAGTATAGGATTGCACTGTAAATCATAATAAGATAAGACCATTGGTCCATCTAGTTCAATATTGTTCACATTGATGAGGATTGAGGGACACTTTCTACATCCCTTCATTGGGAGAACTGCCCATTTTATTTTTATTCTCTGCTTCCTGTTCCTGAACCAGTTGCTGATCCTAACAAATCAGTGCTTGGTTAAGGAAGAAGAAGCAAAGAGTAGAAATAAATGGACAGTTCACCCAGTTAAGGGATATAGAAAGTGGAGTCCCCAAGGATCAGTATGGAGGTCTGTATTTTTCAACTTGTTCATCAATAATCAAGAGTTGAGGTCAGCAGTGATTTAATTGCTGGTGATATCAAATTGTTGTGGGTGGTTAAATCAAAAAAATTTAAATGATTGTTGGGAGCTCCAGCAACTAGATGATTCACTCACTCTTGAATATTCACATGACTGAACTTGCTTGATCCATGCAGAGATTCAAGAGGTAATAGAGTCGGGGCCCAAAGGCATTGCTGTTTTTTGAGCATATGAAAAGCTAGAAGCTGGTCTTGAGACTTTCTATAGGCAAATAAACCATTGGGGCTCATTTTCTCATGGCTGCTAGCCTTGCTTTTAAGGAGCTGGGACCATGACAGTTTTTATTGGATAAGTTACAATTCAAAAACACAGCAGGAATAGATGTTGTAATTCACCCATGATTTGTAAGCACCTGATGTATTATATTAATCAGTCACATCTATGTAAATGTGTGTACACAAAGATTTAGTGCCACCTCTTACAATGTAGTATAGAATTTAATTTTTAATTTTTTTTGCTTGTTTAATATAAATGGAAATAAGAAAGTCTTGACATTAACAGTAGCTTAGCAAATCTATTTTCAGAGAAAGCTTTGATTTGCAATACTGTGTAAATCACTCATTGTTCTTTGAAAGCTATTTCTTCAGCATGAGAGGGTAATATTAAATGGTGATGGAAACTAGAATATAATCATCTCGGCCATTGAGTTATCTCAGATTTTCCAGATGATGCTAATTTCCTAGCAAAGAGGCTACAGGAATGCAAACAAGGCTAGAAGCTACGCAGAGCAATATCCGCCGTTTTACCCTTTAGAAGAGAGCTTAGAGAAAAGTGCAAATAAAAGGAAAATCAACTTTAGCATATTAGCAAAATGCCTGTCATTATGATGGGTGAAAGGGCCAGAAGATCATAGGGAGCTCACGGACTGGTATCAGCTTTGACACTAATCCTATTTGAGCATTCAACAACAAACTGCAAGCAAGGAGAGTGGAGAATGAAGTTGCACTCACTTGCCCTTGTCCTGTGCCTCTGTCCAATACTGCCTATGCGATGAGGACCTGTCTGGAGCAGGACAGCGTCCTGAAATATACATAATGTGTCCTCATCAGCTGTAAATCTGGACAATACATAGGGACAGCCTCCATGCACTCAGCAGGCTATCCCTGTTAACTCATGGACAGCTTTATGGAGAGGCCAGCATAGGTTCCAGTAGTGGGGGTAAGTCTTGCAAGTGTGGCCCCTTTCCCTTCCTCATGTGAGTATCATTGTGGAACAGGGCAATTGTCACCACTGTGGAAAAATTGATGAGGGAATGCCTTGTCAGAGGCAGTAGACCAGGCTTCCTAAAACTCAGCCCTCCAGATGTTTTTGGCCTACAACTCCCATGATCCCTAGCTGGCAGGACCAGTGGTCAGGGTTGATGGGAATGGTAGTCTCAAAACATCTGGAAAGCCCAGTTTGAGGAAGCCTGAAGTGGACCTCTGAATACTAGTTGCTATGAAACACTAGTGGGGAGAGTGCTGTTGCTATCACATTCTGCTTGAGGGCTCAATAGGCATCTGGTGGGCCACCGAGAGAACAGGATGCTGAACTAGATGGGTCTTTGGCCTGATCCAGCAGAGTGGTAGCATTTATGTGGGCACTGATGGAAGATGGCACTCTTTAGAGATTGACTGTTTCCATTCCAAGTTGTTTTCAAACATGTCTATCCCTTCTGGTTTATGCATCAATCTGTTGTTGTTATTTTTTTAAAAAGAATCCACATAAATATTGCATTTAGGTAATATTAAATAGATATATTTTAAGGTATTTCCCCTCAAAACATAAATTACTAATTTATTTAGTCAGTGGATGGGCCAGATTAGTCTCTTCTTTGCCACAATGTTCTTCTTAGGAGCAACCATCCTGTAGCTCTTGGTCCCCTGGATAATGGCAGAGGCTAAAGTGTTTGGTCCTTCAGCTCCACAGTCACAGGACAACTGTCAGTTGAAACCAAGTGATCTCCCTGACAGGGCAGAAGGCTCACTGCAACCACTCCTTTTCTGACTGATGGACAATGACAGGCTGATCTCCCCCTTGCCATTATTTTATCCTTGGAAGGTAGGGGAAGCAGCATGCTTGCAATAAATTTCTCCTACTATAATGCATTTTTATATCTTTATCTCCACTAATATATTCATTTTAACACACATTTTTACTTAATATCTGCATTTTGGGAAACATTGATTGGAGAACTACACTGCAAAGCCAGATTCGTGCAAATGTTCATGGATGTCTGTTTCAGTTTTTGTATTGTTTTGGAAAGTGTGAATTTTATACATTTGGTTTTGAATGTGAAATGAACTGAATTTCTCACCATCCCTAGAAGGCGTTCCAAGAAGTGCAGAGAACCTTGCATTGGCTGAGTAGCATGGAGGTTATTCGAATGTTTAAATGCCAAGGAAAGAAAGGGGGAGAATTCTCAACCACCCCAAATGAAGTAAATATCTTTTTCCCATCCAGAAATGATTTTTGGAAGATTTTATTTTGTCCCCTCCTTCCCAAAAAATGGTTGATAAATTATCATCATCATTATTATTTTTTAAAAAAAATTGTGGTTTTTTTTTGCGTTGCTCTAATTATTACGGTATATGCAATAAATATGGTGGAAGCCAACTTTCCAATCCATCTATTTTCTGCAAATGGTACAATTTGTTCCCTGCATGACAGACATGATGTTGCACACAGCTCTTCCTACACAGAAATTATCTTGATGTAGGGTGGGGGGGAATGACATGAATGATCCTCTCTCATAATGTATGCCCTGGAGATCAGTGGAATATGATTCTACTGTGCCTCTAACTCAATGTCCACAAGATATATTGCATCTATTCATTTCATTGTATTGCTTAAGAACCACATTTTGAAGAATTCAAGGGCCACACTATGGTTCCTGAGCTGTGAGCTGGTCATTACTTTTGCTATATCGTTTGTTCTCGGCATAATATATATTTCACTTACTTTAATTCTTTTACTACACAAATCCTTTTCTCGTGGCATAAAAGATGAACTTGTTTCTTGACATACTTTCTGAAACCAGTAGTTAAGATTTACAATTTCCATTATGAATGATATCTTGCAAGAGAAGAAAAACATGACTGTAAGGCAAGCATACATTTTCCATCACTGCACAGCAGTTCGTCTTCAGTGACTGATGTTGTTTGTAGTTTGGGAAAGTAATATTAGAGAAACAACAAATAAGAATTATATTTTAGCAGATACACTCATTGTTCATCCCATATTTTGTTCCATTCTCCAGTAAAGTGAGAGCTTATTACTGCCAATAATGAAGATAAAAAGCCAGTAAACCTTTTCTCATAGCTTAATATAACTATAAACATTGATGAATTACACATAATGAAATAGTCATTATGACAGAATTGTCTTTTAAAATGATGTATTTAGGGGTGAAGTCTATAGCACACAACATGCAGATAAATACAGACACGATAAATAATGGAGAGACTGAAACTGTAAAATGTGCATGTGTTTCTTTCAAATAAAAATAGCAGCATGTACAACTGAGAAAGAACCGAGAAAGGCTTGTTGATTAAAGTTGGGCATGGAGGATTTGTAGAGCATGAATTGAGGGTCAGGTTCTGTACCTTTGAATCATCATATGAGAACGTGTCTCTGTTAGCTATTGCAATTCAGCCGTTAAAATATCGCCTTTGAACTTAGGTCATATCCAGAATGTTGGTTTTGAACCTGACCCATGTCCACATTCCTGCTGAGAGAGAAAAGGGGAGGGGAAAACATCAAGGGAGCTCAAAAAATATTGATCAGATTTTGAAATGCACTTCTCTTCAAAAACATTTTTTTAAAAGGCATTGTGTTTTGTACTCTGTAACACTACACAATACCACACTAGGGAACCAGGTGGTTTTGAGTTTTTCTCCAGTTATTGGTGCCTTGTGTCCTATGAGATCTCAAATTCCTATAAAGCTATGTCCCAGCGATGACAAGGGACAACCACTTCATTCCAACAGCGTCTACCTATAGGACTTCTTTGAGTTATTGGTGACAGTTTCCAGCTCCTCTGCATCTAATATTGCTAATCTGATGGCCCCTCCTAGTCAGAGCCTAGGATGGTGTCTTGACACCGAAAAACTAACTGCTTGCAACCTCCACAGCAGTGCCAATCCTCCCTAGGCAGTTTCTGCCTGATTCAGCCTCACATTTTCTCTTGCCACCCCATCTAGTGACTGTGTTGTAGAACATCTTAAGTGAACCTTCAAAACCAATGTGTGGGATGGGTGAGCTAAAACAGGACAACATTTCTCACAATGGTAGTTTTCTATACAAATTAAGGAAGAAAAGTGTTGGAATAAAAGTATGGTTCACAATAGAAGATGCACTTATAATAAAATGACGCTTTTAAGTAAGTGACATTTTCACATTGCTCTTTATGCGAAATTTAGAGATGTAAGGATAACAGAAATCCAAGACAAAGGAAGTATTACAAAGGGTAACTCATATGTAGCATTGAACCACCAATTATATGTGAAATTTCTTTGAACTATACTTTAAACTTTACTTTCTCATTTTTTAAAATTTCTGCTTAGAGGATCACTATACAGACTCAGGAAAATTTCATACTTTTGTGAAGTAGATAGAATCTAAAATATTAGATTCTGAAATATGTGGTTTGCTATTTTCTTACCTTTGTATTTTTCCACTGGGGGCAAAGGTTGAATGGCCAGGTACCTTTCATTTGTCCCAGGATAAAATGAACTAGAGTGATTGTTCTATTCTATTCTATTTTATTTTGTTCTATTCTATTCTTTCTATTCTATTCTATTCTATTCTATTCTATTCTATTCTATTCTATTCTATTCTATTTTGTTCTATTCTATTCTATTCTGTTCTGTCCTGTCCTGTCCTGTCCTGTCCTGTCCTGTCCTGTCCCGTCCCGTCCTGTCCCATCCTGTCCTGTTCTGTTATATATCTTTTGCACTTGCTTTCAGGTATTGCCCCTAATTAGGGCTTCACAACCTTGTATGGTTAGAGTGAAGTATCTGAACCAAGGGATTATTATTTTTCTAGTGCTCTTTATGATACCTAGAGCACAGCCTCCTTTGCTTCACACAGTAGAACAGAACCTCTCCAGCTGATGCTCTGGGCTTTACCCAGGCCATGCACCCTCCTGAATCAAATCTCTCACCAGCCCTATTTTGCACCCTCCTCATTTTGCCTGGCTGGAATGTGTCCTTGAACTCTGAAACTGTTTCTTAATTGCCTACATGGAAGACAGAGAGAAAAGTGGAAGAATGTGGACCATATATGGAAGCTTACCTACTGTGCAAAAGTTAATGTTCACATTTGTTGCTCTGCTCTCACCTGTGCTTGTGGCCCTGTCCACCACTGGCATGTGGCCTCTGTAAGGTTGTCTAAAAGGGAATGTAGCTTTCAGGCCATAGTTGCAATAATGCCATCCACCCTTTCGTCACCTCCTCATAAAATTTATTTTGAGCAATAGAATTTTGGTTTTTGGGGTGGTTAACAGGTGCCCCTTAATACTACTGAACTGAAACTCTTATAAACTATGCCTGAACTTGCTAACTCTTTCAAGTTAGCAGATCTAGGATATGCTGCCAGTGTTAAGTATTCCCATCAAATGCAAAGGGCAAAAACTGACAAATGAGTGGTTTTACAAATTTACTGTGCAAAGTCTAAGGTGTTTTTGACACCTAAGATGTGTGTTTTCAGGGCCCAACCTATATTTGTAATCTGTTTTACCTTTTTTTAGTTTTGTAACCCACCCTGATACCAGCTGGTGCACGGCTGGTAGTAAACAAAAACATATACATAATAAGTGCAAAGTGCTTCGTACTTGTTCTAACCTGGAGTATTTACTTAGCAGAGATAGCTAACCATTTATCCTCCAGGTGTTTTGGGTTCTGAATACCATCAACTGCAGACAACATGGCCAGTGGTCGGGGATGATGGAAGATTAATCCAACAGCATTTGGAAGATCACAGGCTAGCACAGGACTCTGGATTTAGGGGATAGCCAGCAGTGCATATTTCCACTTATGCATAACCAGGACTTTGGGGATCTTTTCCAGAAAAAGTGGAAGCTCACAGTTAAAAGTCAAGTGAAGTGTTGGTATATTCTGTAGGGATTGAAAATACTTGAAAGACTACTCTGATACTTTAAATTAGGGCTGTATGGAGGAAAACCTGGCTTGCCACTCCCCAACTGGCTACATGCTGCTACTGTAGAAGGAGCTGATTAAATGCTTCCTGCCCAGCTGGAAGGCTGCAGTGATCAAAGAGCCTGTCTGCCTCTTCTGTCTTATCAAGTGGCTAAAAAATAAACAATGCACAGAACAAGAACTCTGAATACTGCAGCCTGTCTAGAAGTAAGTGTCAGAAATGTCTGTGCCATGAGATGATTTTTATTATTTTTGGAGACTTGAAGATTTGCCATGGTAAATGTTGTTCTCCGTTGTAAATAGTATATAGAAGAATAAAAGTTGTTGATAGGGCAAATCTTCTAGAGTGGACTCCATACATATAAAATTTTGTTACATTTCACCCTGGATTCTTCAAGCTTTAAAAATATCCAGTGAATCATGGAACTGTAGAGTTGGAAGGGACCATGAGAGTCATCTAGTCCAACTACCTGCAATGCAGGAATATTTTGCCCAACATGGGGCTCGAACCCACAACCCTAAGATTAAGAGTCTCATGTTCTGCCAACTGAGCTACAAGATGAACATCACAGAACTTCTGATCTGCCCTGTATTAGACATACCAAGACAACAAAGAAAGACATTGTTTAGATATTGAATATCTTTGACATGTCATAGGATCACATACTCAACATGTGCTTGAAGCTAGCTAGGAGAATTTGTTGAAGTCTCCCCTCCCTGCAACGAATTTATTTGTAAATGTGTGATTATAAGCTTTTCTTGTGTTACAAACCAGTGCACTTACATAGGCCTTCAGGTGTTTACTTGAAATGGGAATTGGTGGAAGGGGAAATGGTAAGTTGAGTAACTTTAGGAAAATAACAAGCTTCATAGTCCTAGTACATGAAGTATAATTCTGTCTATACGGTATCATAAAATATTTAGTCCTCTAGCACATTGGTGGACAAATACACCTGAGGACAACACATGCCCTCTCACTACTGGATAAAAACTGACAATGCTGGAAATTTCTTTGACAACAACTCAGGTATACCAAGCAACAAGAAGTGAGCATCTCTGCACATATCTGGCCAATGATCTCCCGTCTGCCCCAAAGCATTGGATGCCTCTATGTTTAGCAGGTCATTTGCTTTCACCATTGTACTTGTTTGGCTTCTCGCTACATTGAATTTTATGCCATTTTAAAGTTACCTGTTGTGAAGGGTCAAGTGAGCATTTGTGTTCGATGCAGTGCAGTGAAAGAAATTACAGCTGCTTGCTGAGTTTATTTTTACACAGATAAGCAGCATTTCTGGGTGGCATCTAACAAAAGAGGTATTTATAGCTCTTCTCTTGCAGCAGTGATGGATGACAGGACACAGTTTAACATGTACAAGTATTTTCACAACAATTTCATTTATATACCGAAGTAGCCATAAATCAGAGAATAGATGGAAGCTAATAGGATGAAATTGAGGAGAGACATACATTTGTGTAATACACTTTCCAGTGATGCCCAACCGTAGAAACTGTTTCCCCAGTGAAGAAATAAATAGAATTAAGCACATTGATTTGGGGCATTTCAGTGGCTAGAGGGACTATGCACAGCAGCAGATGAGTGTTTGGGGGGCATCATGCAGCTATAAAAAACTTTCAAAATTTTTTTGGAGGGAGGACTTTAGGGATGATAAACATTAACAAACTGAGCTAATGGTGTATAGCTAGGAATGGAAGGTAATTCAGTTAAATATATATTTTCTAAGAATAAAGTAAATTTGCAGTTGGATTTGTTCTGAAACTGACTCACATCTTAGTAATCAGTTGGAATGCTTCCCCATGGATACATCTAGGCTTTGGATTTTTGTCTCGTAATAAAGTATTTGTTGAATTGATTTATTTATTCTTGGTATTTCTAAGCTACCTTTCCTGACTCTGGGCTCCACATAGAGTCTTATGACAATAACCACAATATGCAATTCTTTTTTCTGAAACTACAGCAATTCATTAAAACTCACAATAAAACAACCAAGTAATAAAGTTCAATAACACATCAACTTACACCCCAGGAACATTTTATACAATAAAACCTTTCCATTAAAATGTAAGGAAAACAGTTAAGTTGTTGTTGTTGTGATGGTGGTGGGGGTGGTTGTTTAAAAATAAAGATATAAATTGAAGGAATCAGCCACAACTCTATCAGGTCAAAACTAGCATTTGGGTTGGGCCCAGACACACAGTTCAACCAGTTCAGCTATATTAGATAGGATTACTATACACACAGGTCCCACGGTCCAAATGCTTGTTATACAAAAGCTCACTTATCCAAACATGATGAATTAGTACACAAATCTAGCTATACACAACAAAGATTCAGATATCCAAACAGCCAGATAGAAGCTGTCATATAAACTGAAGTTGCCACCTATGCTTTTGCAGATAGCAACAAGTCTAGGAAGATGCTCAAGCTATGAACTTGAATCCTTCAGGATGGTGCAACCCTGTCCATTTTGGGTTGGCTCCCTCTTAGCAGATCAGCACATTTCCCTACACACAGGACATGTATTGTGTGGATGCTACTTTATTTAGAGATGTAAGCAAAAGGTCTCCTTCTCATACGGTATGCTCTGAACTCTCAAACAAAGATGTGCTCTTCCAAGCCCATGTTCCCAGCATGTTTGTACTCCTGTCTCAATGACATCAACGCTGACTTGGTCATGTCCACAGAATGGAAGATGGCAGGATCCCCAAGGGCTTGCTTCAGGCACAAGCCCATTGAGCAGGTCAAAAAACAAGATGAGCAAAGCATTCATGGAACACTCAGGTCTTCTGAACCAGCCCAACAATTTGTACCAAAAAGCCATGGGCATTCAACACAATCCTAGCATTTCTCATATTTTGCAGGTTTAAGTCATTAAGTTAATTACTTTCTTAAATGGCTACCTTGCTGTCCTCCCAAAATTCATAAAATCCTTTGGGACCTTTGAAATCCTAGGGATACGGCCAATTCCACACACTATCTTGCAGGTTAATCCTAGTATTTCCTCCAGCCTAAATTGTTTTACTACACAGTCAATGGATACAAATTGCACAGCCATTTAAACATATGCTCCCTTCCCTAAAACTGAAAGCATTTTGCACCACATTCTCTAACATCTTGTTTAGCTATGCCATGAGACTTTGGTGTGCCACATGCTGCAATATAACATAATGTAAGCTCCAGCAATCTGGAAATGTAACAAAATGTCGAAAAGTTATTTTTCAAGTGCACAAAAACAGGTTGCAGTTTTTACAGTGTTGTGGTTGTTCTCTTTGGTTTGAGAATCTAAACATTTACTAGGTGGTGAACAAATGAGATGTGTCTAGAAAAGAAATGTGATGACTGGGATTACGTTGAAGTGTTCTCCAATAAAAATGTGCCAACTTCTGTCGGTGGTGTCTGAGCCTCTATGGATTATCAGTGTTCATCTGATAAAATTTCACCACATGGACAAAGTTAAAAGTAACTCTTATGCTCCTTTTCTTAGGTTAAAATGCTATTTTTTTCTAAGTATTTCCTTTAAAATTACTTTTCGTAAATTCTTTAATGGGCCAGCTCAATCATCTGGCAAGATGAAG